TTTAATGATGCTTTATATCTTTAGTTTGGTCAAATAAAGTGTTTTGGGCCATTATTTGTTGTTAAACAAGATGAAAAATCATATTGTCATTTTCAATGAAAAATGAAGAAAACCAGACATGACTATGGGGGTTTTTCATACTAGACAAAGGAAATGTATCCAAATTCCCTACAGTCTCTCAGAATACAGTGATTAGTATGTTCATGGCCTCTCTTTAAAAATAATACCAAATTGACAATAGGTATCGTGAATACTTTTCACATGATTTCAAATTGAATTCCATAAAAATACTAGTTTTATATAATTCTGTTTACGACGTAGGACAGTGTAAATCAGAAACTCGAGCATCTTTTTTAATATGAGCTTCCAAGTACTTGTGTGAACAATCAGAATGTTTTTGACAAAATAATTATTAAAAGAATAAAATCCTTTATTGGCATTTTGAAGTTTAAGAAATGACTGATTGCTTAAGGTCGAGATCTAGTTAATTGACTTTAAACTTATTTTTGATGCTAGATCCATTAAGACGTCATAATCAATTATTTCAACTTTCTTTTTCCCATACTCTGTAATTGTTTTTGAAGACCAGGTCTTCCAGCAATCTATTGGCATTCCCATGGGTACCATTTGCGCCCCGTTATTAGCAGACCTAGAACATTGACTGGAACCCGCCATATTTCTTTGTTTGTAAGAATTTTATAACGATTCTAAAGTATTCTTAAAGATACATTTATTAAGAAAGTGAATGTCCTGTAATATAGACTTAGATACCAATGTTTATTAGAATAATGTCAAATAAGATTTTTTTCATGTTTCTCAATGATAGCCAGGAAATGCTTTGTAATACACTATGCATAATTCATAATAAAATGATTGAATGAAACATATGGAGATAACAAATAGTATTCAAGATCAAAAACTAATAAAATAATACAAACTAGGAGCAGATGATAATATTGAAGTAGAAATACCATGGACACCAGTCTGTTTTGAAGTGACATACCGAAAGAAGGTGTCTAAGATATTTTTTTTTCATTTACATTAGCAATTTCAAAATCTTTCAAATACATAAACCTAGTTATTGTAGTTTTAATGTAATGAAAATGATTTAAAAATCTAAAGATTCCTTGAATTCAAATATATACGTGATATGACCTTACCTTTAGAATCATCCAAATTTCTTTTCTTAATCCAGTTTTTATAATCAAAAAAGTAAATGAATGATATTTTGGCATTGTAAGGCTTCAAATGCACGCTTATTTCCGATATGAACGATGTTCAAATATATTGTGTTGTATTTAATCTCCACTTAATATGTATATTTATAACTTAGACAAACTAAATGAATCTCTACCCCTATTGTAGTCAACAGATTATTCAGATAACAATATTGTGTAAACTAAAATTATGTTTACACGGGGCAGCAGTAAACAGGAACCTTTATTTTTAAACATTGAATGAAAAAAAAGGATATTTGTAAAGTAAATCATTTCACTCCTTTGAAAGTGACACATGGCGACAACAAGGTACACATCTTAAACATTGAGAACATATGTGAAGAATCTTAACTTCTGTGGACAAGTAAGGGAATGGGCAAGGAGCTCGTTCATTTCAAGATTTTTTACAACAGCGTGTTTGTTTCTTTTGTATCATTTATCCTAAAGGTGAAATATCCCTCTGCTCCATATTTCACCATGTTCTTTTTAATTCCAATCATATATTTTTTATCAACGGCTTAAAGTTTGACAAGTTGCTTACTTTTTTCAGAAATGAATATTATGTCAAATCATGTGACGAAAATTTGATATGATAAATAAAAAGAAAAAATTTTAATCTCACAATAGAAGAAGAAATATGAGGTTTATATGACAATAATATTTACTATCGTGCATATCTAATTCTCATTAGAAAACATACTGAACCGTTGCCTTTTAAATCAGAATATCAAAATGTTTTCTGTGCTTGTAAAATAATACGCATCCATCAACAAGAGTTATCTTTCCATTATCGCCCTTGAAAATATTTTTAGTGAAACAACATATTAAATGTTTATAAGCAATTCTGAATCGGAAATTTCTGTAACAATCAAATGACTTATATTAAGAGATAGAAAATATCTCAATTTACATCTTAAAAGGAACTGAGTATAAATGTTTAAAGTAAACTGTTATAAATAATTAATGAAAGTATTGGCAATAGAAAGTAAAAATCAACATTTGTACATTAGAACAGATTTGACTGAGCTGACTACAGAATGGTCCTTATTAATGAAATCTGTAAAGTTTGAATTGGCAATTTACTGAATTTTATGGAAAAATGTATTCAGGAAGTTATCTCTTTTATCAGAGGGATATACTACACCTTAAATAGTTTAAATAAACTAAAGGTGGATCAATATTTTACACATGCCAGGCTATTATGAAGGTCATACAAACGTCGCATGATTTCCTGATCACATGCCTAATTCACTACCTTGAAATCATCGTGGGTTTATTTATCTTTGTTTAAACTTTCGATATAAGTCCTTAAAGATTTTTAAAAAATATATATTAGTATATAGTGTTAGTCATATCAATCAATGAGGTAATCGATTTATACACAGTACATCTTGCTATTGATTGAGATTCACCTAGCATGCACATGACCTACATTGCTGGTTTTCCATCTGATGACAAATAATGTATGTCCTGTTCAAGTCCTTGGAAAAAGTCCAAATACATTGATTAAACTTTAAAATGCATTTGTTTAAATTGTCGTAATATCTAAATACTAAAAACAGACCAATCATACAAAGTCATCGTGATCTGACACGGCTGTAAAACAAAAATAGTTATTTAAACTATAGGACTATTTAAGATAAATAAAATTTAATTCACTTAGATAAAGTTTACAGAAATAAATGTTTTCCATTATAATTTTTATTTTATTAAATTTAGACTCCTTTTACTGAGGCTAAACCTCATAGTAAGTTCACTTGAAAATGACAGTCATTCACATATAATACGGTATGTATTTAACAAACCATCGATTTGCCAATATTTACTTGTAACCTTTCAATGCACATTGTGCAATTTCATTATAACATGTAAATCGCGGTGGGTATTTTAATTTTTTAATAATACAATAAATAATTTATTGTATTATAAAATTGATTTCAACTTTTTAAAGTGCATAAACACAGATTTGAAGTTAATAATTTCTCAAATTTTCTGTATAATATCTTGACTTATATATTGCAATAGCATTTCACAAAAAAATATTTTAATATTTTTCCATCTAAACGTTATTGAAACTTCATATTTTTGGACGGGTTTTATTGACACATCCTTACACTTTCACAAATTTTAATTCATTCTTAATACTTATGAAATACGTGTGAAATACTATTACAACATATAGTCGTGATATTATATACAGAATATATTAACTTCAAATCTGTGTCTATGCACCTTTAACAGTTGTTAGACCATTAAAATATAATCAGTATGTGTTGATATTTTTAAAATGTATTATATGAGTGCTTATGATTAATAAAGACAAGAGCTTAAAGAACGAGCGCACTTATAGGCCCCGGTAAAATGTTGAAAAAATAAACAACCAAATTAAGCAAAATTTTTCATCTCAAAGCATTGACTGATATCTAAACCATACGATTCAACAAATTTTACCGCTGAAATTCACGAATATACAAAGAACAAACCATACATTGTGGTAGGGTTCAGCCGACATTTGTGATTTTCTGTAATAAATCGAGAACGGTCATTCATTTCAGAGCTATTGGTTACTATGATCCTAACGTTGTGCAAACTTGTACGAATGACAAAAGACGCATAGTACATTTAGAAAACTTGTGTGAAAGTAGAAAACTTGCACACGATTAGGCTGGTACTTAAAATATTAAAAATATGTAAAAAGTACATTTTTTTCCTATAGCAAGTGAGAGCTATTTACCTGTATGACCATGTTGAACCCACGTGTGGAATAAATTATTTAAAATACTGATAGTCACGTGAGCTCTACCCAGGTAAACATTCCTCAAAAGTGCTCACTGTAAAACATAGGCAGATTTTGTATCATTAGTCAGAGTTGTGCCTCTTAGATATATTTGTATGTAGTTTTTTTAAGAACACGGGAGGGTAAAAAGAGTTTAGTGCCATTCATAGACGACTTAGGGTCAAACATTTTTAACATTCATGCAAGACAACGAAACAGGTATTGAAAGCCACCTAATTAAACAATCCTCTTTATTTCAAAACCAGTGAAACCATTATTGTAATTTTTCAAATGCAAGAATACCAAACATTATGGTTAAAGGCAACTACACAACTTCATTCAATTTTTAAAGATAGATTTGGTGCAGGAAGTAACATTTCGCAAACGCGCCCGACTATGATCCACCATCAGATGTACAAGTATCTCTTCCCCTTGATTTACATAAACGAAACTTAAAAAGGGGGTTCGATACGACTTTGGATTTGGAATAGCTGATTTAGGTGATGATGCTTAATGTGCTTTTTAATTAGAAATATCAATTAGTATCCAACTATTACATAAAGAGAACGATTTGGTAATATATTCTTTATAGTAAAATGACACATAAAAAGGCCCCATTAAGTATTGCTTAATTAAGTGCCCTTTCTTTTCATAATATTCAAATATAAAGTGTAATTACTTTTTAAAATCCAGTCTACTACTGTTACAACTGTACTTGTGATCATATACGGAATTGGTAAGATAGTGGTTTTGACTTCAAGTTGGTGTTCTATCTTAGACATTCAAGTCTTTACAATGTCGGTAATGTAACAATCAAAAGTCATTAACTGTAACGGTTGGTAATGTTAAGAAAAAAAAGTATATAACTCTAAATTTGGGTTAAGAATGCATGCTTTTACTTGATTTACATAAAATATAAAAAAAAATATTTAAACAGCAATTTACATACAATGTAGCATCCCCCCCCCTTTTTTTTAAATCAACTTTTCAGGATTGTCTTTGTCGATCACTTGATATCACTGAATTTGTTTCAATATATCAGAGTTCAGCTCAAGTCGTCCTAAATGTAAGGCTCAGTAAAAATAAAATCTGTATTCATTTCTCTAACCGACCGGTCCTACATCTGACTGTGTATAGTCAAACGTTGGGTAATATTACCTCTTTCGTTCATTCTGAAATCTGAATCACCTTAGCACTTCGGATCAATTTCATATCTTTTCTCAGACTTTGCCAATTTTGTTTAGTAATTTCAAACACTATACAGAGTTCCGTATGAATTTTTAAATGATCAAAAAGTTCATCAAAATCTTTTGTGATTTGTTCTCCAGCTGAAAAGTAACCGGAGCGGAATATCATGATGTCTTTTTGATTTAATTCGGCTTTCCAACTCCCTGGTATATTGTTAATGTAGGCAAGCTTAGAGACGCCATACCTTTGGATTATTGGCTGTAGTAATTTTGCAGTTTGAATCGTGTCTTTAGTGACAATCACCCACACACGTGAAATATCAAAATTGATATTTGTGTAGTTCTCTCTTTCGTCTGTATCGCCTACAATAAAGATTTGTTTTTTTTTAATAGAAAAGCGAATAAATTGATTTTATGACGGCTTAAGTTTTATCTTTTTTTAACTCTGTAATATCAAAAATTAACATGCCATTGACTACTTTTGGTTAGGGCTACCGCTGGGTAAATACCGTATACACCGATTTATTAGCGAGGATTCGATTTAGGAATTTAAAACGATGTTGAGATTGTTAAAACTGAATGGCTAAAATAAGGTATCGATCATTAAAAAAAACCCTCTTTATTTTCATTTCGTTTGAAATCCAAAATGGTATAAGAACATGGTAGTTTTATAAAGGGAATAAAGGGTTTTTGTGTGTTTTATATAGAGAGATACAAATTGAAGAGGTTTATAAAAACAAAAATCAAATACCAAAGGGAAGAGCTTTTTGCATTTGGTTTGATAGTTTCCCATTTATCTAGAAAAACAGCTCATATATAACCCATGTTTATTTTTTGAATGTACCAATCATGTTTTAATGATATAGCAATAATAAAAATGAGAAATTTTCTCTCACTCAAATTTGCATTAACAGCGTTATGAACAGTTTGTTAACACGCTGATGTATGAGATGTATGCCGCGGTTAGAAGTGGCATACTCTCAACAACACATAACACTTACATGGTTGGGATGAATAAAAGTTACCGAAGTAAAAACAATCACTTGATTACTCTATTCAACATAGATTGAACGCAACCAAAACAATTTATAAAAGTTAGAAACGTATAAATTAAATCAGAAGAATGTAAATCTGTAATCTTTGTGTTTTGAAACTGAATTTAACATGTTTAAATATGCATAGAAAATTTCTAACAATCTGTAATACCTATTTACATGTAGCTAGTCTAAATGTTCAAGGTAACAATTTTTCATCAGAGGAAATGATATCGGAGATGCAAAGATGAATCAATATATATATATATATATATTTAAATATTTGGGTGAATCAAAAGATTTTAATAGTTGTACTTTGTGATACATAACTGAATGAGTTCCATTAATTAAATATGTAGATATATTGCACATGAATTAAATAAATCCAATCTTATTCGTGGTGAATGCAAGGGAAATGGAGATTTAAAAAAAACCACAAACTAGACATCATATAAACCTAACATATATAAATACATATTAGTTAAGAAAAAGACCCTCTTTGGACACTGTGAATTGGTTTCTATTGTGTATATTGTGTTGGTATTAAATTTTCTTGTTTCTTTTTTTTAAATACATGTATTCAGATTAATTGTCATCGATCAAATAATCTGTGTCACTGAAGAGTTTTATGATGAATGTTTCATTATGGGAGGCAACTGCCTTAGAAACCTGTTTTCATATAAATCTTCTTTTATGAAGGCTGAATCTGAAGAATGAATACTTGAAAATTTGAAAAATAATAGATATTTGTTATAACTATCCACTTTTATAAAATGAAAAACAGAGAAGATACTAATGATCCATTAGTCTAAGAAAAAAAAAGTTTTTAGGAATTATCTTACAGTAAATCTATCAATACATGGGATTTAAAACCCCATGATAAAGAAACGTGGGAGAAAAAACCCCATATGACAATATAAGCAACATATGGGTTTAAAAAACCTACATTGATTTTAGTAGGGTTATTTCCCCCATGGGGTAAAAATAAACCCCATGGGTTTTTTTGTGGGGGTTTTTGTGGGGTATTTTTAAGTTCATGTTTCCCCATGGATTTTTTCTTGAACTCAAATATCTCATAAATCAATTTGATTATAAAAGCCCCACCCTTTAAAAAAAAACCTTAAGATGATAGCTTTAAAGGAAAAGGGTGCGCAAGTTCGGAAAAATTTCCATTCCGAAGTTGTCCGTCCCATATATATATATATATATATATATATATATATATATATATATATATATATATATATATATATATATATATATATATATATAAAGCACTAAAAATGACCAACGACACGAACAATAAAAATTGTCAAATTTTCGGACGCCCTGTCCCTTCCTCAGGACAAAGAAAAAAGTTAAAAAGTCATAAGAACAAAGGAAAAAGAGAAACAAAAACAACTAGCACTACTACTAAACTACTAAACACTAGATATTTACATACTTAATTACATGATGAATTGGAAATTTTTAAGAACACTAATAAAGAAAGAAATCCGGACCGCTATGAAATGCGTCCGGTCTATCGGTATACTCGGGTGAAGTGCGATTTACATAATTGAACGAATTAATTATGCTAATTAATTACGACAATCAGTAAATCGTACATTGTTTCATTCTCTCAAAATGGCGTAAATTTACTTAATAAAGAATAATCGAAGAAAAATAATATAGCAGGGATATTTAAACATATGAATTATGATCAATTATAAATTTTGAAATATTTAAGGACTTATTACCCGGGAAAAAAATAATTAACAAAGGTGTAAGCAATACATAGTTATGAAAGTTGTTCGAGAGTTGGTGACGCAAATTAACTGAAGAGTTTACACTAAATTGAGAGAATAATCTTGTTTAGTATCATCAGGAATTGGGTCTAGCGTCCTCCCATTTGTGACCCTCAAGGTTGAAATGTTCCCCAACAGGTTCATTGAGTTTTTTGGTCCTAATGGTCGAACGGTGGTTATTGACTCTCCTGCGGAGATCTCCTGTTTCACCAATACACTGTTTGGAGCAAACTTTGCAACTGATGAGATAAATGCAGTTGTCAGTATGACAGGACAAATTCCCTAGTATTTTGTAGCTGCGGCCTGTAACAGGGCTGTTAAAACTGTCTGTGTCAGTGTTGTGCTTACAAAGAAGACATCTTCTGTCGGAGCAAGTTTTAAAGCCCCCGTTAGGTAATGGGTTGTCCAGTCTGGTTCTTACTACCATGTCCTTTAGGTTCCTTGGGCGTCTGTATGCAGCCAATGGGGGTTCCTTAAAGACCTCTGCCATTCGTTTGTTTGAATGGAGAATTGGTAGGTTCTTTTGAAGGATACCGCTAAGGTTCTTAAGGACGGGATGGTATGTGGTTACCAGAGGGACCCTGCCGCTATTGTCTTTCTCCTTGTAGCGTAATAGGTTTTGCCTGTCATGTCCCGTCATCTCATCAATAGCTGTTTGTACGGTGCGGGCATTGTAGCCTCTTTTGCATAAGTGGGACTTAAGAAGACCCCTTTGCTCCTGATATAAGGAGCGTCGAATTCTGGTGGCTAGACCCCTAGGCACTCCCTTAAAAGTGTGTGGGGGATGACAGCTAGTGGGCATCAGATATAGGTGGGAGTCTGTGGGTTTGGTGTGGAGACTGAATTCGATTTCACCATCAATCAGGGTAGATGTAGTATCTAGGAATACGTTTTTCGAGTTAGATACGTCTACTGTAAATTTGATCGACTGATGAAAGGTGTTGGCAAACGTAATGAATGCCTCGAGGCTCTCGCGACATTCCACCCACTTCATTTCTATATCGTCAATGAAACGCAACCAGCTATGGGGCTTAAATGGTGCTTGAAGTAACAAGTTGCGTTCCAGTCTGCCCATGAAGACATTGGCATAGGACGGTGCCATTTTCGTACCCATAGCAGTGCCATTAACCTGCAGGTAATGTTCTCCATTAAACATGAAGTTGTTGAACTTGAGAACATGTTCAAGGAGCTTAGCAAGGGACTCTGTAGAAGGAATTTGTATGGATCTACTATCCCAGACTTCTCTACAGGCTTCGATACCCTCATCGTGTGGAATATTGGTGTACAAAGATGTGACGTCCATAGTCACGAGGAGGGTATGATTTGGGAGGCCAGTAGAGGGCGTCTTGTTAATGTAGTCCGTGGTGTCCATGAGATAGGATGGCAAATTCTCTACGTGTGGACGGAGATGTAAATCAATGAATTCAGAAATTTTCTCCGTGGGGTGTCCAATTGCGCTGACTATGGGGCGACCTGGCATGCCTTCTTTGTGTATTTTAGGAAGCAGATAGAATTGTCCTGGTCTACAGTCAATAGGATTTAAGGTCTCATAGACGTTGATACCAATCTCATTTTTCTCAAACATATCGTCAAGAGTTTTGGTAATGGCGGTGGAGAATTCTTTAGTAGGGTCAGAGTCCAGTTTCTTATAGAAACGTTCGTCTGAGAGTTGTCTTTGGGCCTCCGCCATGTAAGTCTCTTTATCCATTACTACAACTGTAGAGCCTTTGTCTGCTTTCTTGATTACAATGTCATCCCGATTTTTTAATGATTGTAAGGCAGATCTCTCTTCCTTACTCAAATTGTCGGGAGTCTTGTCTGGCATTGAAAGGAGCTTCTCTATGTCTGACTCAACGGCGTCAATATACGACTCAAGCGCGCCGCACTTGCCCGGTGCAGGTTCCCAGTCACTCTTGGGCTTATAGAGTTTGTGTTCCTCTAGATCGTGTAAATCTGGCTTGGAAGAGTCGTATGAATTTACTTCGGTGTCTTTTCTAGAGAAGTGCTCCTTCAAACGAAGTCTCCGGAAGAATGCTCGGGTGTCCTCTCTGACTTGTTTTTCGTCGACCTCATGTGGCGTGGGGCAGAAATTTAGCCCCTTGGAAAGAAGTGAGGTCTCCGATTCGGAGAGAGGAGCACTAGATGTATTGAGCACTGGGCAGACGTCAGGAGTTTGTATGGGTCCGTCCCTCGCGATTGTCTTAATGCGTTTGAAGCGTCTCGAGCGGGGTTTGCGTGTTTTGTTAACTCTGACCTCTGACCAGTTGTTCCTAGACTGTGGAACACTGTCGCGGAGAAATTTCTTTTTTTGAGTCTTGTTGACTTTATTTTTTAGGGCCATATTATAGGTGTCTATAATATTATGGGCTTCATCAAGATCGGCCTGGGACATGATATCGTTGAGGGATGATTCTAAGGACTTGATCTCACTCTTCAATTGTCCTAACTTGTGGATATCCCAGAAAAGACGAGTGACATCAATTGTTTAGAACATCTACTTGTAATAACGTCCCAGCGTTCCTGAAAGCGTTTGGAGATTGGCCCTATGTTAGGTGTAACATTTATCTGAAAACCTTTCGGAATAATGTCACACTTTAAGTAGGTCTGTAAATTGGAGACCCGGTGTTCAGTTTTTATTGATTTTTGATGTTCTTTCTTTAGAAGTTTAAATGTTGGGTTATCTTTAATAGACATATTTGAATGGAAATTAGAATTGCCAAAATGATAAGACTACTTTAAAGTTTTTAGTGTATTAAGTCGAAAGATTCAACGAACGATTGTTCTGTATTCTAAAGGATTTCGTAGATAACTCGTGCACGAATTCAAAAATATTAAAAACAAACGGTACGTGAGTAAAAATCGAAAGGGAAAAGTGGAAAGAACGTATTTGCAAAGGTTGGAAACAAAATAAATAGTAAAAAACGTCAAATGATGAAAGACATGACCAAAAATAAATGATAAGAACAGAAAATATAGACAAAGAAATGATGGATATACGGGTGGATCTGTGAAGATACAGTTGGCGAAAAAGGATATAAAAAGCACTAAAAAACCAACAACACTGTATATCCTAAATGTCGGATCTACCAAGAGATACAAGGTCACGGATGGAAATTTATATAAAGCACTAAAAATGACCAACGACACGAACAATAAAAAAGAGAAAAAGCAAAGAAAAATTCTGGATGCACAGATTGAAGTCATTCCGCCCTAATGGTATTAACAAACTAAATGACTTCACCAGAATGAACGTAAACTAGACCCAATTCCTGATGATACTAAACAAGATTATTCTCTCAATTTAGTGTAAACTCTTCTGTTAATTTGCGTCACCAACTGTCGAACAACTTTCATAACTATGTATTGCTTACACCTTTGTTAATTATTTTTTTCCCGGTAATAAGTCCTTAAATATTTCAAAATTTATAATTGATCATAATTCATATGTTTAAATATCCCTGCTATATTATTTTTCTTCATTATTCTTTATTAAGTAAATTTACGCCATTTTGAGAGAATGAACAATGTACGATTTACTGATTGTCGTAATTAATTAGCATAATTAATTCGTTCAATTATGTAAATCGCACTTCACCCGAGTATACCCGATAGACCGGACGCATTTCATAGCGGTCCGGATTTCTTTCTTTATTAGTGTATCTGTAAAAATTCCAATTCATCATGTAATTAAGTATGTAAATATCTAGTGTTTAGTAGTTTAGTAGTAGTGCTAGTTGTTTTTGTTTCTCTTTTTCCTTTGTTCTTATGACTTTTTAACTTTTTTCTTTGTCCTGAGGAAGGGACAGGGCGTCCCAAAATTTGACAATTTTTATTGTTCGTGTCGTTGGTCATTTTTAGTGCTTTATATAAATTTCCATCCGTGACCTTGTATCTACTTGGTAGATCCGACATTTAGGATATACAGTGTTGTTGGTTTTTTAGTGCTTTACATATATATATATATATATATATATATATATATATATATATATATATATATATATATATATATATATATATATATAACTTATATTATTCTCTTGTCATCGTCTTTAAATATATAGGTAAGTTTAAACTTTTTGTTAGATTCTTTATCGTCTTGACAATATGATTATTACTGGAAATTATTCAGACAAATATCTGAATAATTTAGACTATAAAACAGTTTGCCTCACAATTTCAATCAAGGGGTATATAAGATTAAATTAAGTTATATAACATACTATATAATTATATTTATAGTTAATAACGTTTCAGTATAAACAAAATCAGCTAAGACGTGCTGAAGATATGAAAATTAAAAACATTATATAACATCATTCAGCTTTCTATTTGATACATACTAATGAGTCGTGTATCCTCATCTTCATGAGATATTTTAACATTTCCTCGTGTTTTTGGAGTCACTGTAGAAAAAAATTAAAGGTGAGATTAGTATTTTTCAAATAATACATTTCTTCAACTTGTTTGTGAATAATTTACATCGTCTTATAAATTGTACATACGTGCAGCATGCTCTTGCGTATCGAATCAATTGAGATACAGTATATTTTGCCCTCGTCCGATATACTTTTGTATTGTTTATACATTTCTTGACCAACAAGGTGTTATCAAACACAGTTAATGATAAACATCTTCTTTTCTTTTGTAAAATTAACTATGAATCATATCTTTTAATTAATAGTGAATTTTAAATATGTTCAGGTGGCGCAACCTAGAATTTAACGTAATTTCTATTTTGAGTGTTACAATGAAAGTTAACTCTTTTTATATGTGCGCTTGCCATGCGAAAATTCACATCAATTTACTCATGTGGTATGATACAATTTTTCAGTTAAAAAGGTTGTAATTTTTACATAATTCTGTACGTTTGTTTTAAAAGATTAGAAATTAACAGAAGAAGGCTTGTATTTTTTTATTATACTGTGCAATCATTTTAGTTCACAAGGATCAATGGTTATGAACATTTTTTTCCGGGTACGCGATTCGTTGGAAACTGTATACACATAATTATGATTCAATGAATAAATGTCCTGAAAAATAATATTAATGTTCGTGGGGATAAATTGTGGATAAGAAGAGCCTTCGAAATCCAGACACATTGGTCTCCCACAAACATAATAATTTCACAGTGTCTTAATAAAAAGTGGTACTCACGTGCATGATGGTTTTCCCTGATGTTGAAATATTTCTCATTTTCATCCTTATTTCTCAAACCTCTCTTATCTTAATATAGGAAATTGAAATTATCTTGATAAAGCCTTTGAGAGTACGAAATGATTTACTAACTAATCTCTTATCAATCTTGCTTTCAATAATTTAATTTTTCCTTCTAAGGGGAGACAGGACTCATGTCACGTGACTCAAAAGATAGATTACGTCAAAGTCACTGCTGATATACATGTAAAACTTTAAAATCAATGGTTCTTGTGTAATTTTATTCCAAAATATTTTCGAATCAACATTTACGTATTATAAAAAATTAAACAGTTTTGATCATCTAGATTCTTGTAAAAAAAAAAAAAGAAAATATACATTCAAATTCATCTTGATAGCTAGTCCTATACACTCTATGTTTTTAGAAATTATTTATTTACTTGCAGTCCACTTTGAGTTGTTTAAAAAGTAACATAAATTAATTTTGTGTTACTTATATTAGGCTTTAAGGGGAGACAGGTCACATGACTCAAAGGACAGATAAGTCATAGTCGCTGCTGATGTATATCTGAAACGTTGTTGAAATCAACAGTTCTTGTGTAATTTTATTCAAAAATTATTTTGTTGAAACATTTATTAAAGTTCTTGGTAACATTTTGTGAAATTGCCACATCCACTCATCCGTTTCTTTACGCTGGAGTCTAATGTCAGTGACGTTAGTGACGAAGTGTTTGATTCTCAGTGCAACGAGATCAAGCACACATTGGTTACACGCGTCATGAATAATTTTATTTCATATTAAACATATCACTGTCATTGCATAGTGATGAATTTCTGAAGCAGATTTATTTTTCAAGTTTTCCTGTGGCGTCACAATTGATTTTCCATACTCGTAAAATGTAAATGTGAAGCATTTTTATTAAGGAATAACTGTCTAATTTTTTGGTTTCATGATGTGATCAATCGAGTGGCTTGCCTGATAATTTGCATAAACGCCGAATGCAAAAAACCCTGGGCAGTTGAAAATTTTCTAGCTTATCTCATATTTATCCCTTTATCTCTTGGATATTTCTTATTTGATTTTTGTATCCGATTCATTTTACAACACAATGTGTTTTTGTGAGAGTTTAAGTAAAATAAAGGAAATTCCTTTATTAAAAAAATATTGTAAATGATCGATAGTGATATTCAAAACATGAGATGAAAGGAATATCTCGTGATTTATGGTTGGATATGATTTTTGATGATTATGTTTTTTTTTTAAACGATGTATTTTTTCCCCTTGCCAAGACTCAAGGATAAAAAAACATCAAAAAGTTCTATGGATAAAAATCATATCCAAGCACAAATTATGGGAAATCCTATATTTCGTCAATAAAATATGAATTAAAAGAGTCATAAAATCTATCGTTACCTGAGTCATTGAGTGCAATATCTTCTTCTGTGTTTAGATTGTTATCTGTAATATAATTTAACATTCATTTAAATTGGGCTGATATTTGGTGAAATATTATTTTAAACATTATTTTAAAGGTGTTATAAAACATAAAATGTTTAAATTTAAAATTAAAATTCACTGCATCAACTCTTCTTACGCTCTTAACCAAAGCAATAATAAATCTATTTTTTTAAATTTTAAATTTTGAGTACATAAGGCGAGAGGAGATTCTTTTTGTCTAATTGGCACCCTCCATTGATGATTGACTGAATGTTGTTTAACGTTCCTCTCGAGAATTTTTCACTCATTTGGAGACGTCACCGTATGCCGATGAAGGGCTTCAAAATTAGACCTATACTCGGCACCCAGGGCAATTAAGCAGTGAGGGTTCTTTATCGTTCCAACGCCTACCGCGACACGGGACCTACGTTTTTAAAGTAATATCCTAAAGACCTGTGACTTTCACTTTTAATGCCAATCGTTTAGCGTCTTAGAATTGACACGGCGCTGCGAACGAGAATCGAACCCGGGTCTCCCGATCACAAAGCGAACGTTCTATCACAAGGCTACCGTGACCGGTGGCACACTCGAATGGACAGGGGAAAAAAACTATATACCCCTTAATCGTAAAAAGTAATTACCTGTTTGTTTTCTTCTTTTCAACACAATACATATCACAACAGAGACAGTGGATATTAGAAGTACCATGCAGGCGATGACAACAATAATAACTATGAGATTGATAGAGTCCTGAGGGTCGGCTTCTGTAGTCGTCATGTGCTGAAAACTTTAAGAATTTTTAGCTTCTTTGAGAAAGGCACTTTTCAAAAAGTAAAAAAAAAAAATGGTGAAATTGGACTGCCTTGGCTCCAAACTGGGGATAATTGAATTCAAAATAAATACTACTGTAGAAGCACAAATTTTCGTGGGCATAAAATTTCGTTGTTTTCTCATCAAAAATAGTTTCGTGGGCATTTAATTTCGTTGTTTTGAAAGTAACCCTATTCAATATATAGTCATATAAAATTTCGTGTGGGATTTAATTTCGTTGAATATTGTTAACAACGAAATAAACGAAATTTAATCCCCCACGAATATTTGTGCTTTTACGGTATTTTCTTTATATTTGAACTTATTTGTGTGTAAATTTCATTTATTTAAGTAAAATTATTGACAAACTGTAATAATGACATATTTACAATAGATTCAGATATTTAAAATTTTGTTAATCTGAGAAACTTACGTCTTATTTATGAATACAATAATACATATTCAGCCAAAGTGTAACAATATATATACCCGATATTATATAGGAAATAAGTAAGGACAATCATTGCATGGTTAAATGTGAGTTATTAATACAATTTTAAACCCATTTGAATCAATTTATAAGCATTGGGGTTGCAATATTAGTGATTTTTCATAATTTTTTCCCTCACATTTTTTTTCTTTTCAAAAAAACTTCTCTATCACTCATTAAACAAAAATAACATTTTAAAAATTTTACGGGAGCATTATTACGAGGGTTGATCCAAAAGTAATGTCACAGTGTCCATATCTTTTATATTTCGCGTCATTTATTCAAATACAATATGCCAAAAGATGCACAAATATCAATTTTATTAACATTGAAATTTTAATTTAATAATGTTTATTTGAATTTATTTTATAGATGTTTAAAACACAGAGCATAGGGGGTGTCGCCGCGTCACAACGGAACGTCACGTTTTAAAGTGTATTTTTGAATGTGTTTTTGGAAAGTGTATCTTAGAATGACAAAGACAAACACATTAAAAAGATTCTAAAAAGCACACAATCTCTTAATTTTTTTTAAGACACAATTCTCGTAATATTCTGGTCTTTAATTTAAAATTAATGAAGGCATTGGTATTTGCGATCATAAACATTGTTGTTTTACTCTTTTGAATTGAACAAAGGGATTGTCGAAACGGGGAATAAAAGGTTCGACGAGTTGTCATGGATTTTTGCTTTAAAACATGGGAATCATCACTAGCGATATTTTCGTTAATCAACCAGACTTACAGAATAAAGAATGTAAATAAGAGACATCTTTAAAAGATCGTTTCAGCAATTTTGGGCGGGTGATCGGTCACTGAATGATTAGCAGAGGACAAGAAGTCGGAGAGGTAGGAGATCGGACGGAAACGTGCTGACATCAAAAAAGACAGACGTATAGAGTTACATGTTAACTTTTGAGTTTGTCTTATACTACTGTTCAAAAAATTTTGACAGAGGGCTAAATTATGAAAAGAGTGAGCGTATAATGGTACTACTACAAGGGCGCATTGTTTAACATCCGATATTTTGAAAAGTATACATCATATTCCTTTGAATTTTTTAGGTCTTAAAACTTCCATCATGTGTAATTTTGTTGCTTTACGTCGATTTATAGCAATTTTATCAAAGTTGTGACATTACTTTTAGATCAACCCTCGTATATCTCCCTCTTTTAAAAAAATTTAACAGTAAGAATTACCTGAGTGTGCTTGCTATTCTAGTCCTATCCAGGCACACGGAAACTGAAATAGATGAAGTCGATTGAAAAATATACTGGTAGCCATTTTTTGAAATTATATTGCATTTTATATTTCTTTAATGGATATAGACAATACAGATTTCATAATATGAATGTTTTGAAAATTTAGGTTTTTTTCGACCATTACAGTAATATTACATTGGTTTATATCATTACATTTGTATACTTCATTAGACCAGAATGTACTGTTAGGACAGCCATCAAGCAGACATGCTGTAGCATCGATCCTACCGGCCTCTGAGTTATACTCTGGGCACATATTGTGTAAAAGAAAAGTAAAAACACTATAGCATCCATACATTTGTAAGTGAAAGGTTTAAATAATATCAAATTAAGGAACAGCTTTTATTACTAAGTAAAGAAAGAATAGCTTTTCTCCATCACATTGAAGGGCTTTCGCTATTCTCTTTTCATTTGGCATTTAAAAGTATAATTCTGACGTTTAACACAGTTGCGATTGGGTGAACATTAGCTTGCAAAATACAGTTTTATAAATTAATGTACATATTGCATTTCTCACTCTGAATTGAGTTGCTCAAAACACTGGTTAAGGCTAACCACTGGTTAAATCTCTTTATCCAGTGGTTAACTTTTAACCGTTGGTTAAATTCTGTCTGTCAAAATTTATCCACTGGTTAACTTTGCTATCCAGTGGATAAATATTTGGCTAAAGCTAGCCATTCCACAGAGGTGGGTTAAGTCTCTTAACCAGTGGATAATTATGGCTTCTAGATTATTGTTCAATGTTAATTTCGGCAGACGACAGAGGAAACAGAGAGTTTTAGACATTTTCAACATGAGTTCGATGCTGATGAATATCAAGAAAGATATAGGTTTTCTCAAGAAACAGTTAATTATTTAGCAAATTTATTAGATCCTAAGTTATGTCGCCCAGCCATGAGATCCCACTCACTTGCAGCAATAAGTCAAGTAGAAATGGCTTTGCGATATTATGCAACGGGTGACAATATGAAAACTATAGGAGATACGATGGGGTTCCACGTCTCCAGCGTCAGTAGGAGTGTTCGCGATGTATCTCAGGCTCTCGCTGACATTGCAGAGGATTATATCACGTGGCCCACCTCTGCTGATGAAATAAACAACATCAAAAGGGGTTTCTATAGCATAGCAAATTTTCCTGGAGTCATTGGAGCAGCGGACGGCACTCATGTTAGTATTATCGGACCCACATTGCATGAGAATGTATTCGTAAATAGAAAGGGATATCGTTTTATTCTCAATGTACGGGGAATCTGTGATCATCAAGGCAAGTTTGCTTATTGCACTTGAATACTTTAGTAACTGTGCATTTATTTCATTCAAGCAATACTGGTATATTTTATTTTGGTTATTTAGGACGATTTATCAATGTAGTCGCTAAATGGCCTGGTTGAAAACCACGACTCCTTCATTTTTCGTGAATCTGCTGTCGGAATGTTCAGATTCCATTTCTGATATAGCTATATAGATGACTGGTAAAAAAAGACAGAACAATTTTTTGAATTATAATTAATTTTCCTCTTTACCTTTTCCATCGTTTGCTGCCTCTGTCATAAAAAGATCATTTGTACATGCCTTCTTTTCTTGGTTAACAATTACTGCAATTCATGTGCATGGATATTAAAATATATATACATGTACTACAATGTATAATGTTTGTGTTAAAAATGCTATTATATTATGCATTCAAATCAGAATTAAATTTACCTGTATTTTCAACTGTATTACCACCTGCAAGATCTAATGAAAATAAAATAAATCTTAATCTGTACATGTACATGAGTATATATATCTTCAAGTAAGTTTCTTCTTTATTTAATTTATGCATATGAATTGGGTTTAAATTAAAAAAAATATTTGGAAATATTATATTTCGTATTGTCTTTGTATCTATTATTTTATAAACGCAAAAGCTTATACTTACTGGAATTCCCACAATCAGCTGAGTAAGGTAGTACCTCTGTAATTATAGGTTAAAAAGACAAAGGTTTAGGTCTAATATAGGAAAAGAACTGCACAATTCATCAATTGACTTCTTTAGATATTGATCTTAATCGATTGAAAATAATACAAGTGATATTTTATAAGGCACTTCAAAATTTATCAATATTTACGTTGATTAAATCGGAGCGAAACGCATTAGGGGCGATATCCCTGAAACGACTACGACCTTTATTGTACAGTTGTACTATTATCGCATACGATACCATGATCGATTGAAGGATATTTTATATAATGTGGCAAATTTAATTATACCCGCACTTTCTAAAGAAAGTTCGGGTATATTGTTGTTACTCATGTCCGTCCGTCCGTCCGTCCGTCCGTCCGTCTGTCACACTTTTCTTCCCTGAACTCCTCTTACATTTTACACAGTAGGCTAATCATCTTTTGGGAGATGGTTTGTGGTGTCATGTAGATGTGCAGTAAAGTTTCAATTTTGATTTTGCCCCGGGGGGTCAAATGGGGGTCGAAAAAAGACGTTTTTTATGCAAAAAGCCCCGTCTTCCCTGAACTCCTCTTACATTTTACACAGTAGGCTAATCATCTTTTGGGAGATGGTTGGTGGTGTCATGTAGATGTGCAGTAAGGTTTCGGAATTTTGATTTTGCCCCGGGGGGTCAAATGGGGGTGAAAAATGACGTTTTTTATGCAAAAAGCCCCGTCTTCCCTGAACTCCTC